GGCAATTGGTCGCTTTGCTCACTCACAACTCTTTGTTTTTGAAGGGTAGCAGCAGTGATAATAAAAGTCACTTACATAATACATGCATTTCCACTGTGAACGACGCCTCATCCCTCTATGCTTCCCCCCCCCCCCAACTGACACACACCGTGACAGTGAGTCAGTAGTCCATCATCCTGTCGTATTTACCAGTACTTGGCACTCATCGCGCGCGCGCGCGCCCTCAGATCACAACAGCAAGGCGACCAGAGAGAAGTGACGTACCGTTCTGACGTTCGCTCTACACGAGCCGTCGCTGCTCGCTGCCGACACCAACACGAACACCACCACCGACACCACGGCTGCTGCCGCTGATGCTGCTGCTGCTGCTTATGCGACAGGTTCGCCAGCGAGTGACTACTACTGGCTGCTGGCTTTGCCGCTGAGCTGCCCGAGCCAGCTAAGAGCGCAGGCAGGATGAAAGAAAGCTGCCGCCACTGCCGACTGTAATACTGTACCGTGTGTGCGTTTGTATTGTGTGAGTGTGTGCGGCACATTACAATAATATATCTCGTACCGACATTATGCAGTGTGTGCTGCTACCGCTGCTAGAGCTGCTGTAGCTTTTGTGACTACAAATTTTGAATTAGATGTTTATCTTCAGTGGATATCACAAAAAGGAGTTATCTAAATCTTTTTCTTTAATTCATTGTATCGGATAACTTGTTGCTTGGTGGCTTTATTCAGTGTTAAAACCCGTGTGATTAACTATGTTTGTTTATTCAACTTTTCCAAATACTTATGCAGCTCATTGAAGCTTTAATTATTTCGAGAAAAAACTTCTTCAAACTGTTTGTGTTCATGCACACGTGTTACTGAATTTTTTAAGGCTAAATGCTTTTTTTTTAAAACCTCGGATGTTTTATTGCCTTATCCCATTGTTGAGTTTATCTCATAGGCACAACCAAAGGTCTTGTGATATAGTTTTATTCGTATCCTTATTCCTATTAGCATTATAATAATTCTCATAAGTCGTGGTTTTGCTCTTCTGCCGTTTCAACGTTCACCATGGATTCACTCGGTCTGTTGTTACCTGGCCGCTGTTCTTGACCGACTGGATCACCAGCAGTGCCTCACCTGGTTCGGTGACCGTGGTTCCAACCTGTTCTCAGGTAAGTCATCCTTTGTAGGAAACACGAGACTAAACAAATAGCCAAATGATTAATGTCCTCGCGTTGGATCAGTCAAATTTTTATAAATCATGCAACTGTAGAGAGTGAATGTACCTTGCTTGGCCACTTGTAAATCTGTCTCGTTCCTACTAATACTTTGTTTATGACGAATGAATACTTTATCTCTTTGGGGGCGGGGGGCGGAGGCGTTATAAGTTTAACCTGTAATCGATTGCTTTTTTGCAAATAGGCATATTGGATTTCTGATAATGATTTACGTCCTTGCTCTGTAAAGAAACCGAAGCCTCCTAATTTTGGAGGTCAAGCACATGTTAAATATTCCTTCAGTGTGTCAGTCTTTGTTGATAGGTGTGGCCAACGCATTGAATGTGATTACTCTCAGTTGGATGTAGCACACAGTAGACCCTTAGGATACTACTTTCTTTCTTTCATTACAGCTAGCCTCTCTGGTTACCGTTAAGTTACTGGTTCAAATATATCACTTCCTGGATGTCTGCAGCCTCAATAGTTTATATTGTCATGATGCAGCGATTATCTTGGTTGTTAACTTAAACTGCTAGAGGCGGTTCGAATGAAAGTAAAATCTGAACGTTTCTTGTCCTTTGTGGATTTCTAGAATAAATGTGATTCTGTCAGGCATCCTTTTCTGCTATCATAGCTTGACTAGAATGCATTTCCCCTTTATTGTCACGAACAAGGAATATTGCTGCAACGACATATTGAAAGCGATTTCTTTTTGTTGCAGAAAGCTTGTTACTTGTCTTGTTGAGGTGTTTACCAGAATGCTCTTTGATGTTAATCCGTTACTCTTAACTTTTAACGCATTGCTGTAGTTTGTACCCCAAGCTACTCGTGCAAATAGTCTGAGACATCCGATTGTTTTTCTAGGGTACCTACTTGATCTCGCAGTAGTAGCCAAGGTCACCTTTAAAGACGAAACTTGATGCTTATCACGGTGAAATCGTACTTGATCTTTGAAAGCATACTATATTATAATTATCCCAGTTATGAGAAAAGCCTTGCAGGGATGGAAGATAGGGGGGGGGGGAAGAGGGGTTCGCATCTGTAATACAGAAACAAAGCGGATTTCGTCCTGAATAAAACTGTTTGATTCATGGACATGTCTTTGGGGAGCAGTGGCAATTTAGGGGTGAGTGCTGAAAACAAACTGAAGCTTTTTCTTGTTACTGTGCTAGAAGATCGTTTGAGAACTCACTTGAAGTGAAAGGGGACGGCATAAAAAAACAAAAACAAATTTGAACGAAGAGGCGGGGGTTGGGGGGGCAAATACCCCTATCAAAATACGGCGGGGGTAAAAACCCATCAAAATGCGGCGTTCGTTATTTCACTTGCACCCTGGTAGTCGGCAACAATTTAGCCTCTTTGGAGTTTGGCGATAGAGGGATGACGTAGAATGTAGCCTATAGTTTGCTCCCTTCTTGAGCACCCAGGAGCACACTTTGTAATGGATTTCTGCTGTACTTACAACAGTTACCGATATCAAGGGGATCACGCAACTGAAACAAAGAGAAAATAATGTTGGTAGCCAAACATTTGGAAGCCTCGAACAGTTTCTCATGGCTTAAAGTTCGAGTAAGTTGCCCCAGAACCTTTTTCGACAGTGGTTCTTTGTCCATGCATCCTATGTTGGCCAACTTTGTTATTGTAAAGTTAAGACTAGATGGTTTGGTCAAAACTGGTGAGCTGACATCTGGCATTTAAGTTGGGATCTCTTTCAAGTTAGCCAGTATCTTAAATTTAGACAATCCCGTCTAAATGAAAAATCTGTAGCGAATGAGCCGGAGGCTGTACTAGCAGGGCAAAACAGGTTTCCGCCAGGTAAAAGTAACGGTGTGTGCTCTAGGTCAACACGTTGAGAGGAAACGTAAAGGAAAAATAATTAGTTGAGTCTAAGCAAGACATGAACGGTGCGCATCCTGCTCTGTTAGTCCATTCATTCCTCTTCCTCCCCGCCCGTCCCGCTTCCCTCACTCCCGCTCCAACCGTGACTTTTGCCAAGCATCTCTCCGCTCCCCGCACGCACCATCAAACGGGTGGCAGCGCTCAAAACAAACGTTTTGCGTCAATAGACACAGGATCTAACTAGTGGGGCGCCTCGGGGTGTGGTGTGAAGGTATAGATTGCGAGCGCGGGTATTTACATCGATGTACAAGCCAAGCAGATCACATTGTCAGGTGAAGAGTAACAGACGCACAGCCGATGAATGAATGGTGTCCACGATATAATTGACGGTAGCAGGCTGGATCTAAACTGAGCGACCGCTGGTTCGTTTCTTCGCTTACTGCTCAAGAGAAGTTGCCGTTCTGAAAGTAGAGAAAAATGAAGGTGTTTTTGACGCCCCCATCGGCACAATATAGATAATTTAGGAGGCGGGTTTTCGACCTTGCCTCACGCTGACTGAGAGGGATACATCGCAGCAGAAAGACCAACTACTCGATAATATCCCCCCCACCTTCCCCCTGGGGAATAGAACTTAGGTCTCCTGTGTGCGACAGCGAAGAGTCTACCGGCATAGACGCCGATGTGCTTTTTTTAAAGGACCAATTGCTTAGAGTGTAAAGAAAAACAGGGGTATTTTTATAGTTTTAAAAATCTGCGCGCTCATATGACCTTATGTAGTTGCGAGCGCCGTCAAACACGCACCCCAAAAAAGTTTTAAAAATCTAAACAAGCACAGGGTAGCTGGTTACTGTGGGGAAGTTGGTAAACAAACTTGACTTGCCAGTGGAAGTTTGGGGTTTGACGACAAGTGAAGTTAGACATTTTTTCTTCCCGTCGTCAGTGGAGTGAAACGTTTTTGTACACCGAGCCTAGGCGTTGCTCTGCCTTTCACATGATTCAAGTTTTGTTATAGTGGACGTCAAACTTCTTGTCTAAAACATGAGTGACTACCTGTGACTAGACAGCAGGAGAACTTAAGTGTGGATCTGTCATCTCTCTAAACGGTCTAGCCCCTGCTGCCACCCTCCCCCCTCGTTTACACTTTCTGCGGTTTGTGTTGTTCGAGTGTAAACGACGTTGCTTGCTCTGCAGATTCTTGGCGGTGTGGTTTAAGTTTAAGAATTAGCACCCATGCCCTCTTACACGGCGTGTAAAGAGAGTCGGCAGAAAAATAGCAGTTGAAGCAGTCCTTTTTTTGAAAACAATGTAATTGGGTATTTCTTGATGAAAGAAACTGTGATGTAGGTGAATGGTACTAAAGTGTTTCAGCACCCCAGAACGTTGCGCAGCAAAGGGTGAATGAATCTGGGTTTTTTATTTTTTAACTTACAAATCTGACTGTTATTCTGGACCATTGGTTTATTTGGAACCTTTTGTTTAACACTTCTTCTTCCGCACTTTAGCAGTACATGGCTAACTTGTGTTATGCTAGGTACTCTTTTGCTAGTAAAAGGTAAATACAAAGTTAAAGCTCCCTATCGGTGAAAAAAGATCACAGGCGCCATGGTACTCTTGAACAGGAAAGCATCTAGGTTAACGAGCCCGACAATGGTTGTTGGTAACAGCTGTATAGTCGGTAAAGCGCTTTCCAAATCTTCCTCTAAATCCTAATGGGTTTTCCCAGTCATTAAATTTAGACTCTCTTTACAATCGTGATGACGCAGATTTCCAATTAAGATATCAGTGAATTTACATCCATCGAACGGCCAAGGACACATTAATGGTTGAGGAGATATGGCGAGTGAGTAGTGTGTTTTGGTAATAAAACGGCAAAGCTGAATCAATAGTTTTTCACCGAATTAATGCAATTTTTGCAAGTCTGTATGCCAAAGTCACCTTTGATTAAGATCGAAGAGATTTTCACCTTGTCATTATCATGAACAGGATTTTAGTTGTTCCAATATTCTATGGGTCAATATGTTGGCACTGTTCATGTCAGGGGCACTGCTGTAAACGGGTTTCTTTTAACGAGAATGTGAACGTATCGCAATAGCTGTAGGCCTACCGTGAGTTGATATTTGCTCTTGAAAATTGCATGCCTTGGACAAAAGGATCTCCGAAAATTAAAAATGATGACATGAAGAGATGATATTGCCTTCGCACTAATATTTGAATTCGAGACTGTTTCTTTTGCAATTTTTCCACTGGAAAACATTACATTCATGTACTTTATGATCCATCAATCGGGGTGAAATTAGTAAGTAGGCTTATAGAAAGAACATGGTTTCAAGGAATAGGAAATCAACAATAATTCAACTTCTTTTACCCGACGAGGGCACGTCAATAGCATAGTCATCTTGGGCAATTGCATGGACGATTCTATTTCGAATCCTCAACGAGGACGTTCTTATTGGGATGTTTTTCAAGGCTGTCTACTCTCTTTTCAAGTTTGGAGATCTGGCTCTTAAATAATTTTAATGTTAATAGGAACTCTAGACTGTGATACAATTCTTTAGATTCGGCAGTGCTAGTTCCCCTCATACCTGTTTCGGAAGAGTTGTAGCGGGAATCATGTCTATAATATCTGTACTTTATGTCTGGCTATCCTGCTTGAAACGTCGTCCTTAGAGACTTTGGGCCACACTGTCGAAGTGGATATTTTTTGGACAGAGAGGTTTATAAGTTTGAGTGGATGGGTAATTGATTATTTGTTTTTCTATTTCTAAAACAATTATTTATCTATCTATTTAT